GCGCTGGAACTCAGTGGGCAGCTGTCTGACCCAGCTTTTACTTTTTAAACAAATCTTTCTGAAGGGAGAAGCCCGGATAGAGAAAAGCCAGTGCTTGGGGTGTTTTTGTGGAGCCCAGCCTCACCACAGGTCCCTGGGGACATGGGGAGGGGGTTCAGGGGGTGGGTGCTACTCTGGAGCCACCCAGGGCAGTCCAAGGGTGCCAGCTGGCCCGGGGGGTTGTTGTCCAGGGAAGCTGTGTGTCAGGTCCTGGGGCATCCCAGGTGGGAAATGCTGTCCTTGGGGCCTGGCATGTGCAGCAGCTACTGGAGACTCCCTTGCTCTGCAGCGCTGGGGCAGGAGGGCAGCGGGTGCTGTCCCCTGGGGTTGATGCTCTGGGATGGTCCTGCCCCTTCCTCTGGAAACCCCACTTTAGCAATGGGCAGGGTTTTTCCCCAGTGTGATTACTGCAGGACGACACAACTGCAGCCATGTGGAGCTCTTGCTCACACCAGGGGAAGGGTGCCTGCGTGTTCCCAAGGCATGATATGGCCCCTGGGGCGGGATTTGACCCCTTTCCAAATCCACAGTGGCAGGTACCAAGTCACAGTCATGCCATGGTCCCCACCATCAGTACAAGTGTCATTAGCAGTCGTGCTGAACTGATCTGCAGCAGCCACCACCAAGTTAAACCATGTCCCATGGCTGTCTGGGCTTTGGATGAGGCCTGAGCTTGAAAGGCAGGACCAGCACCATGCTGAAGTAATTAACTTTGCAACCAATGACTAGTCCTCTAACGGGGAAAGTTAATGGTGGTGTTAGTGCCAAAGAACACAGCAAGGTAAAAGCTGTATAAGACAAATGCAAACTAGGATGTCTGAAACACAGATGTGTAGAAAAAAAACACCTAAGGAGCTGGAGAGAGTTGTGCCTCTTTGATAAAATATTTTGCAAACCCCTCGGCTCCTCAGGAGCTAAAATGATGTGCATTCCTGTCCTGTTCTCTATGCTGTCTCTTGCTTACCTATATCAGAAGGGAATATGAGAGCCATAGTTTGTCTCGTGATCTTGGTGATGTAAAGGAGCTTCCCTGAAAGGATGTTAGATCAAACACCACAGATTTGCCAGGAGACGTTGACAAATCCTGTAGTGGCGAGTTCTGAGTTTTTAAATATCTTTTCTTTAAAAAGGCAGAGAGTTTTATGTACTGGAGATCTCTGGGTGCGTGGGCAGGGTGCACGAGGGAGGCCTGACACCAGAGCTGTAAATGAGGACTGGGGCATGGCTGCGACTCAGCTGGGAGGCTGTGGTGGCACGGGTGGAAACCATGCCCCAGCCTGAGAGAAGTGGTGTCAGCTCTTATGTTTTTCGGGAACAGTGGAAAAACACTGATATTTATTCCAGCATCCTGCTTTAGGGACTGTTTATCTCTCTTCATCTGTGCGCGTAACTCCCAGTGACACTAAGTGGACCCTTAAGGCCCCGTCGGCCCCATCCTGCATTTCTGATGAACACCATGCTCATGTGGGGGCCTGGGAAGGGTGTCCCACACAGCTGCTGGGCTGCCTTCACCCTGTCATTGAGCCTCTTCCCTTGCCCGCTGCCTCTGTCCCTGCATCTCCAATGTGCCTGGGGTGAGAGCAGCTATGCCATGGCAATTCAAGAGGCCCTCAGAAAGCAGCTGATAGGGAATAATTATTTAAACATGACACCTCATTCCATCAGAAAGGGTACGCTGTTTACAGAGGGCCCAAGCCTTGTCCCCTTGAGATTAGCAGGGGTTTAACATTGAGCTGAACAGGACTGGGATGTGGTGCTAAGAGCCTTCCAATGAAGCCTTTTAACCTCAGTGTTTGGGGGAAAGTCCCATTGTTCAGAACAAGCCCATGCTCAAGCCTCTCTTTTCCCTTGCTGTGTATTAGATTTTCGTCCATAACCTGCAGAAATCCTTCTGTCCCCCACTCATCATGGTATGAGATTACTTTCTCCCTTTCATGTCTCTAATTCGTTTCAAGGAATGATCTACATAAGCATGTTTTAAGAATAACAAAAATTGTGCCATTATACCCTAGTTATGTCTCAATAGTACCCCTTTTTTATCCTCTTCTTTCTAAAGGTCTTTGGGGTTTTTTCTTCTTTGGGGGTAAAGGTGTGCAGGAGAAACAGGATCACTAGTTGAGCTGAGCACAGCTGCACGGGAGTGTTCCTCTGGGAGACTTACCATGATAAATTGGTCTGTAAGGGTTCACAGTGCCATTTTTTAATGCCAGGGAGTGTATTAGACACTGGTAAACTGGCCCAATTTGACCTAAGTGGAACTGTCTTAATTTGTTTCCGTGCAGCTTGCTGCCTGTACCTTTAAAATATCTGCTTTACATAGTCAGTGTCAAATGTGTTAGAATAATATTAGCACAGGTAAGTAAAATACCTTTTTATAAGGCTTTAAATCATTTCTGCTACAGTTTAATGTGTAAAGCTACAGATTTTCCCAATTTGTTCGTAAGGTTATGTATCACAGACCTTAAATCATTTAAGGTTTTAAACCTGAGGGGTTCACTCTTAGTCATGAACTGGAAAGCAGATTGCAAGAGACATTGACATGCTGATCAATGACATGAAGCCTCCAAACAAATCAGTACAGGACTTTAAGAGATGAAGCCTTACTCTGTTCTGTCTGTCATCAGAATTTATAAAGCATCTTAGTGAAAGCCCCTTGAGAATCATTCCTAGAATTTTGCAAGTCATGAGCGTGTATGTAAAATCTGAAATTTTTTTTTAAACACAAGTAGCCTTGTAATAGCATAGCAAAAATGTAGTCTGTGATGTCAGTGTAGGAGTACTAAGAACCTGTTTAGTGAGATAACATCTTTTAGAAACCTAACAGTTTATTATCCTCTTTGTTTCTGTTGCTTGGCTTTCTTACATAGAACAAGCTGCAAGGAAACACTAGAAAGGTGTATCTTGAGGTTTTAAGACATCAACAACAGCAGGAATTCCAGACAAACAAGCTGTCACTGTTTTCAGATACTGTGCAACTGAAAATGCTGGATGGGACCTATGTTTATCTGCAGGAGTCCAGGGATTTGATTTTCCTATGTGTCCAAATATTGTTACTGAAACACACTCATCTAAATTCTAAAAAAATAGTATGGGCCTTTATAAATGGGACCTGAGTCCTGTCTAAATATGACTTTATATTTGGGAAGACCTAATCTGATGACAGGGGTTTTCTTTAACTGTTTACAAAGGGGTTTTTGTTCTCTCCAGTTAACATTGCAGGTGCCTGGCTTGACTTTCCCAATGGAAATGGGAGTAATGCCTTGAGCCTGGCTACCACCCCTTCAGCTCAATACAGTAAAGTGTCTAATGAGAAGATAGGCTTTGCCTTTTGGGGCTTATAATTCAAGTATAAACCCAGAGACAACTGGAATGTGAAAGAAAATTAGGCATGAGGAGAAAGCAAAAAAGAAATGTCTTCCTACGTGTGAGGAACAGTGGGGTTGGCAAACCATGTGTCTACTGCACAATTGCTGGCAGTTTGCTGTGGAAATGTGAGTTATAAAGGAGGGGTTTAAGCTTTAGCTGTGGTAATTCTCCTATGTCAGAGAAGTTGTATGGCAGAATCATCATTTGGAGAACATTTCAAAGCGTGTCAAAGACTGTTTCAATGTGTAAGCAAAGGGTGGAATTTAGGAAGTGTTGTGGTAAACCATGACAATGACAGTAAGTAGCCTGTGTTTGGTGTGGTGGAGAAACCAAAAGAGTGAAAAGAGGAGGTGACATGGACAAAGTGGGACAGCATTTGTCCCACATATGGGACGCTCTGTAGTAGCATTTTGCATTGGGTATAATGGGGACAAGGTGGAGACTGGAGACACCTTAGAAGGTACATGAAAATTGTTGTATTGGTATTGCACTAATACTGGGCTGTGCTTCTTAGTAGTTTTCAAAATTATTTGATATTGTTTTCATCATTAATAGAACCCCTAAAAATTGTTGTTTACCCTTCAAGTCAACAAATGGCCTTGTGCAGCAGTGTGGTCCTGCTGGTGCTGACTGGTTTAAACCAAATACAGCAAAATGGCCAAGCTCTTAATTATTTCCCACTGAAATGAAGGATGCAATTCTGTACCACAGCCTGGCAGGGGGGCTCTGCAGAGAAGTCAGTGCTTCTCTGGGAAATCAGTGTTGGTAAGGTGAAGCCCTAAGGCTGTGGTGCTTGAACTGGGGTTTCAGAGATTGTATGAAAGAGTTTGGCTGATGTAGATGTACAAAGTGTATTATTTGGAAGTGACCTTTAATTTCATTTGTTAGACATGCATAGGAATAAACATAGTTAGAATTCTCAGTCATAAATTCTTCAGATTATAGCTTCAGTCGAGTGAACTTTATTTTGCTCTAAGAACGCCCTTTGTTTTTGTTTCTATTTTGCTTACTAATGTAATGGCCCTAAATTCACTACTGACAAATATCTTGGAAGTATTCTGGCTTGGCTTTTACTGCTGGCTCTTATCTCTTTTAAGTAGGGTTTATTAGATGAGATCATCTACAAAGGACTTATTTCTGTTATAAAATGGAATTAAAAAAAGTAAAAATACAATTAGTAGCTGTTCTCTTTTTACTCAGTTTGAAAGATTAGAATATCAATGTCAAAGAGAATAACTGGGTTTCTGGAGTATGCTATGCAACTTTTGTTTTATCCTGTTTTGTCCTCTTTTGCTGTACTGTCTAGGGGAAAGGATCAGAAGAATTTCATTCTGTTCCTCATCATTATCTTGAGGAGAGGTTTTCCCTCTCAAAACAATCCTGAACTGAAAGAAGTTTTCAGTTCCCAATATGAAATGACCACCAAACACATACATTACGAAGGCTTAAAAAATAAAAGATGTTAATCCCATTAATATTATAATTCTTAATACTCTCTGCTGTCCTGTAGATTGTCTGCTTGAGGTGGCATTGTAATATTTTAACGTAAATATCTGATTCAAACACTGAGTTTTGACATATTAAATTTCTCACAGGTTTTATTTTTACAGTTGTGACCTTCAGTACCTATCCTGTGTCTTTTAAGAATTTCCTCATCCAGGGAACAGATTCGTTGGCTTAAGAATAACTGGTAAGAATACTTACTTATCTTATTCTATAACATTTTCTTCTACTTATGGATTTGAGTATACGTTTGTTTTTCCATATAAAACTGTGTTAAAACGGAGTACCTAAATTAGATTTTAAAGTCTGTTCTCACATATTATTTTACATTTTCAAAAATACAATGTTTATGTCTTGCAAAACTTTATTGTAGTTCTTTCAGGGTATAGTGAGCTACAAATAGATTTTTTTCAAGAAAAATGTCTGCTTGGTGAAATCATGAGCATTCATCTTTATGCGGTTGATATGTAATAATTGTGTTGGGGATGAATCATCATTTATTACTTTATCATCAGACTGCTGATTTAAAAAACCCATGACATTCCTGATTAAATTCATTTTATCACTTTTTGGGTTTGTTTTTTTTTTTTCCCCCGTAAGTTCAATAGAACATCTCATGCATATTATTAAAACCCATATTCTGTTGTATATTAGCATGAGAAGAACACCCATGAAAATCAGTGGGTGGAGGGCTGTACTACATTGTATATGTGATTTTCCTCTGAGCTATTCCAGTGCAATAGAAGAAAAGCTCCTGTAAAGTCTGAGAAATCAGATTGGTGTGGAAATAAGTGTGAAATCAGAATTGGGTTATTTGGCCCTCAGTTTGAAATAAAAGTCTAGCTTCCTAGGAAATAACTAATAATTAATTCCACATTCTACATGCATTAATTGATTCTTAAATCAAAATTTCTGATAGCTGCTGCTCCCAAATCAAATTCTTATGTTATTTCTTTATTATAATTGTTATACTGGATTGTCCATTCGTTTTTATATGTTGGGAATCAGTAGAAATTGTGTGATTCAGTGGAGTTGTGCTGATTTATAGCTGATGTAAGTGAGAGGATATCGAGGCATATTAAAGCTTCAGTAATGCAAATGCATAAGCAGGTATTGAATTACTGATGCTAATGGAATTACTCACGTGAGTAAAGTTAAGTATAGACGTAAGTGTTTTCAGGATTGATGTCCATACTTATGAATTTATATCATTTAAGAGTATGGCTCACAATTTTTAAAACTTACTAATTGAATGTGAGCTACCGGATTTTATTCTAGACAATTGACTCAGAAAGAATTACAGTGACTTGATTCTAGAATAATTCCATCAACTTCAGAGAAGATATGTGGATTTTTTAATGTTGTAAATAAGGATGTAGTTTGACCAATTCACTTCACTGATCCCTACTAATATCAGGAAATACTTGCCAGAGTAAAGGAGGAGCGCAAAACCGGACAATTAGTAATACAAATGGTTTCAATCAAATGGTTAAATAGCTCAGCAAAGACGTGGTTCGTTTTGTAATAGCATTTGGAATCCAAATAAAACCATCTGAGAGATGTGCTGTTTGTTGTGATGTTAATACAGAAAACAGAAAACTCTCAACACGTCTTCAGTTTCAGGGGGGGTGTTATGAAGCCACAGTATATTAAAAAAAAGAAAAAAGAAAAAGGAAAAATTTCCAAGCCCACAAACTTAAAATACACATGCAGAAGCTCCTACTCGATTCTAATTAACAAAGCTTACCTTTCTCTTGACCATAGAGGTCATCATGTAAACTATTTAAATTGATAGTAATATTATGCACCACGAAATTAATTTTACATTGTATACAGTTTTTATTGTGACTTTATCTTGTTTCAAAAGTGCTTACTTTCTGATTTTGTGGATATTACTGACTGGATTACTTTTATTTTGGTTTTTACACAACAGTTATATTAGAAATTTGCTGTTTTATTCTTACCTTCTTAGTAAAAATCCTTTTATCACACAATGGGTAATTTATATCCATTACCAGCCCTTTCAATCCTTTTCAGTGGTGCTGTCAGTGCCTTTGGCACAGTAATGATTAATGTGATCTAATAATAGTGTGCCATTATATTACCTTAGTAAAACATGTACCAACATCCTATTCAGATCTACCAAATTCATAGCTTCCTATAATATTTTTGTTGAAAGACAGGATTACTATTTTTCAAAGCGGAATTTTTTTTTTTTGCCTTTAACATATTTAATGAAATTCACAATTCTTTGCCATGGTAATCTTTGTGCATGCATTTGGGCTTGATGGGTGAATTTTATATCATTCTGCATTATTATGATTTGTTAGGCAAATTGTTTGACATGTAAAGAGAGATATGCATTACATTGTTTTGCTTTGTTAAGGGTGCATTTTAAGCATTCAGTACCTTCTGATTATTCTGCTGTATTTATCATAGTGGGTATATTTAGATTGTATTATGCAAGAATAAGCATTTGGGCTAAAATGTGTCTCTTTCTGCATTCTAACCCAGATACTGCCACGTACTGCAGAAGGCAAGCTCCCTGCTCCTCTGCCCAGCAGTACCAGTTTTGGTTAAGTTTATTTGCTGTGGTTCTTGCTCTTTGGCACTTCCTTGCTTCTTTTTTTTTTCCCCCTTTTGTAGAAACGTGCAAATAGTGCCCAACTGTGAGCTGGAAACTGGCATTGTGCAGTGCTATGTCTGTGGTTTTCAACCCAAAGTACACACATTTGACAACCAAATTCATGTGTATCTGTCCTGTACTTGAGGTTCACTGAGATATAGCATTGCTTGACCCCGAACTCCAGCTGTCAGGTAGTACCAGTTCACCTGAGAAGCAGAGAGACTATCCAGGGGACACGTTTTTGGTAACAGCAAGTGTTGTTGCCTATAAAAATGTTGGAGTTCTGTATGTGTGACTGCCTTCCAGTCATTCCAGTTACATACCTGATGGATGCAGTGGGGGAATTTGCTGCTGTTGTTGCTCTAAGCACTGATTCCCCCAGTCCTCTGAAACAGGCAGGACTTTAGTCATGGCACTCTTTCCACCCTTGGGTTCATCTATTTAATAGTGCTCATAGTCAGCATGGCTGAAGAGTTTGGGTAACACTGCATCTTTGCAAAGCATCTTAAATCTTCATCACCTAGAGATGTCATTATTGCAGTCAGGGAGTCAAATACTTAACACTGTCACAGTAAAATCAAAATGAAACAGCATGTCCACATTTTAACTCTACTTTGTGATGTTCTGTTAAATACATACTCTTACTGTTTCATCATATCACAATAAATAATGAATGAGAAAAATATTTTAATCTCGTCAATACTGGCAATGTCTAAAAACAAGCAAAGTGTGTGTATGCATTTATGTGGATTCCTTATTTGATTTAGGCTAAGCGATACAGCTGTAACATGATTTGAAATATGCAATCAATGTAAACGAAGAAGAGTATTTTGAATGCAGTATATAAACTGTGTGGTTCTTTAGACATAGTTTTAGGAAAAGAAAAAAAGATGAGGATTGTCATACCATATAACAATAGTACTAGCACTGGAAATATATGCAGCAGCTTTATTTTCTGCCACGGTAAAGACAATCTTAAGTCTTGGTCATTTAAATCAGAGACATTCTCATCTCTTCCACATAGCTGATTCTTCATGACATAACAAGAAATGAGGGGGGAAATAAAGCCTGAAATCTCGGTTTAGCATTGTATTCTAAAGGTTTAGAGAAAGTTCAAAGAGATGCTTCCCTGGTTTTAGTGGTAAATAGTTATGCACAAAAGAGAAAAGCCTTTTATAAAGATCTCTCAAAAATCAGTTTACTAATGGAGATATAATTTGTTAAAACTCTAACACAACTGTACCGGTCTTGAATTAGAGATGCCTTAGGTTGCACTGTAAGTCACTGGGCAGTCTGTTGTGCAGATTGCATTATACCTTACTGCTTTATTACTCCTGGATCCTGCAGTTTTACTAGTCAGGACCAAGCCAAGATGAAAAATGGTGCCTTCCTTTTTTGGACTAAGAATAGAAATATTTCTCCCTCATCTCTTTACATGCAACTCAAAATAGATGTGGTAGACTGCAGAATAGACTTCTCCATGGTCCAAAGCATTTTCAGGGCCTGGCTGGTTGGCTGTTATGTTGCTCCTTTCAGTGAGAGGTTGTTGTATGAAGTACATGAGGCACCATGTTCATGGGGGTAGTTTTATGTCTGTTTATTGGTAAAGTAAGATTTGAAGTCAGTGAATTGGCCAGCAAAGGATTATTTCATCTGCACATATTTCCATCTTCATGCTGATGGGACAGAGGCTCTGATGTGTCACCTCTGGGAGGGCTGGTTAGAGGAGGGAGAAGAGGACCCTGAGGCAGGTGCATAAGCTGTTGAATAAGAGCACCATTACAGTTCACTGCCCTTGTTTGAACTCCTACCCCTGTTGCTGTACTGTGATCCTTAACGCACTTGGGTAGGTTAGGAAGTGGCTTCTTTAGTATGACTGTGAAAGAAAGGCCTCCCAGTAAGCAGAGGAAGAAGAATAAAATAAAATTTAAAAATCTTGGCCTATTCTTGAAAGATAGAAAAGCACAAGAGGAAAGTATTTTTGGCTTTTAAGGCTAATTTTGTCTCTTATGAGGCCATCAAGTCAATGAGTAGAAGTGGCAACTGGTAATTCTTGGGTTATATTACTAGCCACTGAATTACTGTGTGACTTTAGTAATGAAACATAAATGTTCCTTCTGTTCCCCAGTGGGCATAATACCATTTACCTGTCTCAAAAATGCTTTGTAATTTAATTAACACTTGGAGTGCTCTTTGAGATCCTTAGATAAAAGCAGGCAAAATGAGTCAATTGTTACAGAAATCCCAATTTATCCCCATTTAAAAAAAATTACACTTTGTCTTGACTTTTTCAAACCTCAAATAATGTTTGATAGGAGTTTTGGGCTTTGTTCTTACTGGTCCTTAGAGTCACTTATTCTTAGTGATTTGCATAGGCATGGTGTAGGTAGTATTACTTTTTTTTTGTTCAACAGAGTATTTTGGTGGATCATAAATTACCAGTCCCTGTGCTGGGAATCTGTTTCTGAGAGAAGCATACATTTTCAGAGGAGAATTTGACTTGTGCTAGACAAGTTGTGCATTATTCTTCAATATATACCTTTCACTGTTTTGGGGAAAAG